AAAAAAGATCCCAACAACACAAACGGCTACCATAGATTCACACCAAACAATAAAAGGATAGGCCCAGTGCATAGAAGCTCCCACACAAGGTGGGGTCTGGGGAGGGATTATAGGAACCTAGTCTTACCCCTGCAAAGTGCAATGCAGAGAGGCTGGTTCGAACCCAGGACCTCTTGGCACAAGTGGGGAGGCCTTCACCACTGCGCCAGGCCTGCCCTCTATTCACACCAAACAATAACAGCACTTAAAAGGGGATGTATATGGAGAGTAGGAACTGGAGGAAAAATCGACATTTGGCAGGACCCTTGGATTCCATCTAGTGCTAACCGTAAGGTGATCACACCAAGGGGACAAATTATGTTAACAAAAGTCAAGGAACTTATTGATCCGCGTAGTGGGCAGTGGGACGAAACTCTAATTCGGGATGTTTTCAACCTGGTCAATGCACAATGTATCTTGCAAATATCTCTGAATGTGCAAGGATTCGAAGATTTTGTCGCGCGACAGTACACTAAATCTGGCACTTTTTCGGTCAGGTCTGCTTATCACAGTGAATGGGAGCATCGCTATGGTCAGCAGCTTTCTCGCACTGATGGGGAAGGATGGGTTCGAATAAACCTGGTCTGGCAAACAGTCTGGAATCTCAGTGTGCCAAGGAAGATTAAAATTTTCATTTGGAAGGTCCTACATGGTATGCTTCCCTGTTTGGGAGACCTTGCAAATAGACACGTTTCAACTAGTGCTCAATGCCCAATTTGCTCGTCAAGTGCGGATTGTTTGGCGAAGGAATGTTATACATCTAAATCTCCGCCCTTTTGGGACAACTCTGCCCCTGATTTTATCGCATCTTTGATTGCAAACGATATAGCTGTCATTTGATGAATAAAATCTTATTGCCGTAAAAAAAAACATTCATCATCCAAATATGCAATAGCTATCAACAACTACGATCTGTTGGAAATATACCAATCAGATATAGCATCCAAATATGCAATAGCTATCATCAACTATCATCTCTTCATAACAACTGGTTGCGTTAGTTTCCAACCAATGTGCATTTCAAGGATTAATTCCTACAGTGATCTATGATGCTACCATATTCTTCAAAATTCCAATCCGATGTAGCATTCAAAAAATATATTTTTTTCTTACGATGAAAATTGATCACCACATCGAGATTAGGCAACAAATCACAACAGAAACAAATTGGAGGGGGCGGTACCTCAACTAGCGCAGCCTCCTTCCTTGGGAAGGCACCGACGATGGCCGGCGACACGGACACATCCCTCGCACCCGCGATCATGGCCGACTCGCTCCATCCCATCCTCGGCTAAAGCAAACCCGAAATAAAAAATCAAAAAAATGCAAAAACAGTAAAAACGCCAAAAGTGGAAGCAGATTTGGAGGGAATTCGAGCCGCAACCACGTGGAGAAGCGACGCGCGGAGGACCTTCTGCTGCTCCTCCTCGTACCCCGCGCCACCAGATCGGCGACCACCCGATGCAGCTCCCTGTCCAGTCCGGTAGGCCCCTCCAGCGCCGGAACCGGCGGAGAAGGAGGCTCCATCCTTCTTGGGAGGGTCGACTGTGGGCTCCGGAGGGGGGACGGGAAGAGGCGGTGGGAGCGAGGCGTCGGTGGACAGCCAGCAGAGAGCAGCGGGGGCAGGAGGCGGCGGGGAAGTGCATGGGAGGAGGCGGCGAGCGGCGGCAGTGGAGAGGAGGCGGCGGGCGGCGAGGAAGGAGGCCATTGCGGAAGGGCCGGTGCCACGTACTACCACGTGTTCGACGAAATGGCGAGGCCGTGTCGAAACAGAGTTTGCCGAACCAATTGGTGCCGTAAAGACTCTCAGTCGGGACGCGAAGTATCTTCTCGCGAGCTCATATGCTCCTGTATAAACAGTAAACTTTAAAAAAGGTAAAAAAATATCAAACAACTCTGAAAAAATCATTAGGAAATTTTAGTGTGTCTGCAAAGTTTCATCATGAAATCACATTCGTAGAAATCATGGCAAAAAAAAAATAGATGCTCTAATAATGGTATTTTCAAACACATTTTTGAGCTCTGGTTTTTCTTTTGCCACACTTTCACAAATGTGATTTCGTGATGAAACTTTACAGCACTTCAAACATTCCTTAATGTTTGTCATAACAAAAACAGAATGTTTTGAATTATTTCCAATATTCTTTGTTTTTACTATTAATGCCAATAGCATTTGAACTCGAGCTGAGAAAGGTACTTTCGACTCAGTCGTATTTACTGTCGCCACGATTTGCATATAAAGTGTTGAAAATACCCTAACAAACATGGTTATACATGAACCTGATAAAAAAAGTTTCTTGCAAAAAAGTTAGCAATTTAGGAAAAAGTAAAAAATCTTCAAAACTTTTTTGGAACAAACTTGACCTACTGAAGTACCCCTATAAAAATTTACAAAGGAAAACTCCACTAAAAAATTTAATCAAAAAAAATTCAGGACAATGTAGAGTGAATAGTAACTCTAATATGGTGCTGATTTTGGCTTTTTGCCAACAATACCATAAAAATCATTTTTTCGCCCAAAAATTTGTGCGGGTGTGACGCTTGAGCAAGTTTGTTGTAAAAAAACATGTTTTCAGCCATTTTTTAAATTACTTTTTTTTGGAGAAACAGGTGCATCTCTTCCAAGTTCATTCTCGTTCCCCTCATATATCGTGTTTTTTGTAAATTTTAGAGATTGGCAAGGTCATGTGCAAACTCAGTCGTCATAACTCAATCTTAAGAGATTCGGTTATACACCGCTCGCCGGAGCAAGGGAAAGGACACCTGCAAATGTCATCGTCATACCAGGCTTTAAAGACCACATAGCCACTCACCGTTAGAAATGAGATCTACTACTAACCAATGAAGGAACATCATCTGGGGCATCACCCCACGCAAAAGCAGACTTACAATCCTTCACCATCAGTCCAAGCGGTTGGAGAAATCATACCATGCCGAAGATTAACTTGAAAGGAGAGGTCAAAGTCCCCACACTAAGATTCAGCCAACTGCTTGTCTTGATTGACGTATTAAGTGTCAAGATCTTACGGGGGCCGACAAAACCGGCAACACCTACCCTCATAGGCCATTCATCGACGCTTGAACGGACATCGTCAAGGTAGTGAGAGGCCAAAGAGACCTTATTCCAATGCGATGTCGCCACCACCTCGTCAATGCTGCCTGGAAAACTAAAAACCTAGGAGAAACAAGAACTAATAAAAATGGAAGGGATAGGTCCCCCACTCCTCTAGCTGCCAACAAGCCACCAAACAGGATAAAGGAAGGGGGGCGAGGCTTGGTGGCAGCTAGAGTTAGGGATAGGAGGAAAGGTGATGGCGACTAGGGTTAGGGATAGGAGGAGATTGATTTTCGAAAAGAGACGCTTTATTACTTAAAAGATTTAAGCATTATACCCGACCTCTGCATAAACCCCCTTAGCAACAATAACAGGAGATTGATGGCAGCTAGGATTAAGGATAAGAGGAGAAGTGCAACTTAAACCCCCTTAGTAACAATAGTTATTTAAGTAGACTGAAGTCCAGTAGTTTTACTTCTCGTTTGCCCGTAAAATATCGACCCGCAAAACGCGTTTGCAGTTTCACAAAGATCTCGTTTGCGGGTCGAAAACTAGCGCGACCGAACAGAAACTGTATCTGAAACTGCATAATTTGAAAAAACAGTTTTGCGGGAGAAATTGCAACTCGTGGACGCGAGTAGTTCATCACGTACTACATAGATTTTACATGATCAAACACTACAAGCACTAGTTCATACTTGTAGGACCTTGAGAAGAGGTGTCTAGAGGGGGGGTGATTAGACACTAAGTACCAAAGTTGCAATTTTTAAGATTTTTAAGTTTAGGTGAAGTTTAGGCACAAGTTTAACATTAACAATACATAACAAGCAAGCATGCAATGAATATATGAGCAGCGGAAAGTAAAGCATCCAACTTGCAAGAATGTAAAGGGAAGGGTTTTGGAGGATTCAAACGCAATTGGATACACAGATATTTTTGGCGTGGTTCCGATGGTGGTGCTATCGTACATCCACGTTGATGGAGACTTCAACCCACGAAGGGTCACGGTTGCACGAGTCCACGGAGGGCTCCACCCACGAAGGGTCCACGAAGAAGCAACCTTGTCTATCCCACCATGGCCGTCGCCCACGAAGGACTTGCCTCACTAGCGGTAGATCTTCACGAAGTAGGCGATCTCCTTGCCCTTACAAACTCCTTGGTTCAACTCCACAAACTTGTCGGAGGCTCCCAAGTGACACCTAGCCAATCTAGGAGACACCACTCTCCAAGAAGTAACAAATGGTGCGTTGATGATGAACTCCTTGCTCTTGTGCTTCAAATGATAGTCTCCCCAACACTCAACTCTTTCTCATAGGATTTGGATCTGGTGGAAAGAAGATTTGAGTGGAAAGCAACTTGGGGAAGGCTAGAGATCTGTTGGGGAACGTAGTAATTTCAAAAATTTCCCACGCACACGCAAGATCATGGTGATGCATAGCAACGAGAGGGGAGAGTGTTGTCTACGTACCCTCGAGACCGAAGCGGAAGCGTTGATGCAACGTAGAGGAAGTAGTTGTACGTCTTCCCGGTCCAACCGATCCAAGCACCGTTACTCCGGCACCTCCGAGTTCTTGACACACGTACAGCTCGATGACGCACCCCGGGCTCCGATCCAGCAAAGCTTCGGGGAGGAGTTCCATCAGCACGACGGCGTGGTGACGATCTTGATGTTCAACCGTCGCAGGGCTTCGCCTAAGCACCGCTACAATATGACCGAGGTGTAATATCGTGGAGGGGGGCACCGCACACGGCTAAGGAACGATCACGAAGATCAACTTGTGTGTCTATGGGGTGCCCCCCTCCTCCGTATATAAAGGGGGAGAGGAGGAGGGGGCCGGCCAAGAGGGGAGGCGCGCCCTAGGGGGGGCAAACCTACTCCAAGTAGGTTTGCCCCCCCCCCTTTCCTATTAGGAGTAAGAGAAGGAAGGAAGAGAGGGGAGGGAAGAAGGAAAAGGGGGGGCCGGCCCCCCTCCCAATTCGGATTGGGCTTGGGGGGCGCCCCCTCCTTTGCTCCTTCTCCCTCCTTTCCACTAAGGCCCAATAAGGCCCATATACTTACCGGGGGGTTCCGGTAACCTCCCGGAACTCCGGTATAGTCCCAATCTCATCTGGAACCTTTCCGGTGTCCAAATATATCCGTCCAATATATCAATCTTTATGTCTCGACCATTTCAAGACTCCTCGTCATGTCCGTGATCACATCAGGGACTCCGAACAACCTTCGGTACATCAAAATGCATAAACTCATAATATAACTGTCATCGAAACCTTAAGCGTGCGGACCCTACGGTTCGAGAACAATGTAGACATGACCGAGACACGTCGCCGGTCAATAACCAATAGCGGGACCTGGATGCCCATATTGGTTCCTACATATTCTACGAAGATCTTTATCGGTCAGACCGCATAACAACATACGTTGTTCCCTTTGTCATCGGTATGTTACTTGCCCGAGATTCGATCGTCGGTATCCAATACCTAGTTCAATCTCGTTACCGGCAAGTCTCTTTACTCGTTCCGTAATACATCATCTCGCAACTAAATCATTAGTTGCATTGCTTGCAAGGCTTATGTGATGTGCATTACCGAGAGGGCCCAGAGATACCTCTCCGACATTCGGAGCGACAAATCCTAATCTCGAAATACGCCAACCCAACAAGTACCTTCGGAGACACCTGTAGAGCACCTTTATAATCACCCAGTTATGTTGTGACGTTTGGTAGCACACAAAGTGTTCCTCCGGTAAACGGGAGTTGCATAATTTCATAGTCATAGGAACATGTATAAGTCATGAAGAAAGCAATAGCAACATACTAAACGATCGAGTGCTAAGCTAACTGAATGGGTCATGTCAATCACATCATTCTCCTAATGATGTGATCCCGTTAATCAAATGACAACTCATGTCTATGGCTAGGAAACATAACCATCTTTGAATAACGAGCTAGTCAAGTAGAGGCATACTAGTGACACTCTGTTTGTCTATGTATTCACACATGTATCATGTTTTCGATTAATACAATTCTAGCATGAATAATAAACAATTATCATGAAATAAGGAAACAAATAATAACTTTATTATTGCCTCTAGGGCATATTTCCTTCAGTCTCCCACTTGCACTAGAGTCAATAATCTAGATCACATCACCATGTGATTAACATCGATAGTTCACATCATCATGTGATTAACACCCATAGTTCACATCGCCATGTGACCAACACCCAAAGGGTTTACTAGATTCAGTAATCCAGTTCACATCGCTATGTGATTAACACCCAAAGAGTACTAAGGTGTGATCATGTTTTGCTTGTGAGAGAATCTTAGTCAACGGGTCTTTCACATTCAGATCCGTTATGTATTTTACAATTTTCTATGTCTACAATGCTCTGCACGGAGCTACTCTAGCTAATTGCTCCCACTTTCAATATGTATCTAGATCGAGACTTAGAGTCATCCATATCGGTGTCAAAACTTGCATCGACGTAACCCTTTACGACGAACCTTTTGTCACTTCCATAATCGAGAAACATATCCTTATTCCACTAAGGATAATTTTGACCGCTGTCCAGTGATCTACTACTAGATCACTATTGTACTCCCTTGCCAAAATCAGTGTAGGGTATACAATAGATCTGGTACACAGAATGGCATA